TTATTTTAGAATACAACTGACAAGACGAATTGTCCTTGCTCTGTTATTAAAATACAATCTGTGATAATTTCACCTTAAAAATCGTCACTATACGCTCTTTATCGCTAAATTCCCAATCACGCAGTATATATCTAAATAATCTTTCGACGCGTATTTATACCCCGACAGAAGTCTAGAACATTCCACGCAATACTAGATATTTATTTCATTAGTGCATACATGTACGTATATGATAGCCAATGACTGAAATAACTAATATACTATTGTGGTACAGAGTTGTTTCAATTAGTAATATAACTTAACAATTAATATCAACTCTGCATGTAGATAGTAAAGTACTTTACTATAATATTTTAAGTCTAGCTCCCCATGCAGCATTACAACAGAATGATGATTTGTTGACTTTTCATTGGATATTTGTGAATTTTATGTGAACAGCTTGCAATTGTCTAAGAAATATTTCATGCAGAATTTCTTCCAGATTTAACCTTATAGCACTTATTTTTTTTTAAATTTTCTGGGGATGCATGCCTCCAGACCGCTGTAGCATTAGCATACTTTGCATGGTGATTGGGCTTCGCACAATATGTGTAGACTTGGATCTCACAAATTGGAACCCCTTTCAAACATTGTGCGTACAGGCCTGTAATTTTACATTTTTTATTATAAGTAATTGAATGTTATCATAATCAAAATGGTCAGAACATTTTCTTCCCCCAATGGGTCAGTGATAAGTTTACGGACTTATAACACTAAAAGCCGGGGTTTAATTCCCGGCTACGAGCGCAGCAGATAGCACAAGGTGGCTTTGCGCTGAAAAAACAAACAAAGAAAAAGAACGTTTTCTGGAACAACGTTTAACAGGTCATTTTACATCGTTACAGGTACAACAGAAACGGCTATGATTTAAATCGGAACTTTCCAGATTATTTTGAAGAAAACAAAGAAAAGGAGCAACCTGAAACATTAGCTGTTAAGAAATGGTTGAGTGGAACTCCTTTTGTTTTATCAGCTAATCTTCATGGAGGAGCTCTTGTAGCTATATATCCTTACGACAATCTCCCTTCTTCACAGAAATACAAGAGTAAGTTCATACAGCTTCTTTTTTAAGTATGTGAAACGTTAACTTATTAAAGTTAAAATGTGGTGGTTGTGATAAATGAAAACATTGTTGCCTGACGTATATGTCACAGATAATTAACTGTCTTTAGGATGATACTTTGAATTTTTTTGACTCGCAATTTAAAGCGTTTGCTGCATCATCCAGTGCATCTACTTAAGACAAGAACTTTCAGAATACATGCGTTTCAAACGTATTATTTAGTCTTGTATTTTTGTTGCCTTAATAGCTATTCCACCAGCTTATACCGAATCGCTAATTTGTGGCATAACTCAGTTCATTTATTGTTTAGGTTCTTTACATGAGCCAATATGAAAAAAAAAAGAATATTTAATACAAAATCAGTTTAGTAGACATAAACCAATTTATTGTTTATTAGCTACAATTTGAATTATTTCCATTTGACATTGAACAACAGTCATGTATTATTTTACTGTATTATTTTACAGCTATTTTCTACATATCAAAAGCTTGATATCTTAATGTTTACCGCCAATTTATATTAAGATAGTACGGTGGATTCCTAAAAGAAAAGGTAATTACATTTCTTAGTAATAAAACTGATGTTTTGAATGACGAAACACTAAAATCAATGATAGTTTGGGCACAGTGCATTAATTATTTACAGGGATGACGATTTTGTTCAGAAATCTATCTTAATAAAATCAACTGGGTAAGTATTTAACGTAAACACTTCTTTGATGGTTTTAATTCTGTTTGTAGCTTATCAACAGTTTGCAATGATATGTAAGTAAGGTGTACACAAACTTGTATGTGATTTTCTTTGTAGTTAGACGGTACAAAACCCTCAAAGTGACAAAATTAAACGATAATGTTCCATGCATTTTCACGGGTTATAAGATTATCTAAAAAAGGCCATTTTTTATTCAGCAGTGGAATTAATACATACATGACATTGATTCATGCAATAAAGAAGAAAATTAACACTTATTTTCTACAAACTGATAAAGTATTATCAACATATCACTTGTAGTAAAATAACTGGACATAACTAAGTCACTGCTTTCATAACACCAAAACTTTAGGTAATACAATAATTAATATATAACTCAATACAACGCCCTCAACTTGAGATTAGTTTTAAAAATAGTGTTACGCCTCCGGTCGTTAGTTAATTTTCCGTATAATTTCTTTCTGAAGAAACTTTAGCGATACAAGTCCTTTCTTAAATAAAACTGGTTTATTCTTCCTAAATACAACCTTGCAATACACTTAATTTCCACAGTCACGCTATAACAAACGCTATAATTCACAACGAACGTCTCTCTCTCTGTCCGCAGTTCAATTACACACTACATTGTTGCCGTCACGTCTTGACCGTTTTATATATAAAATAACACCGAAATCTAGTAAACGCTAGAGCATTCAGGAAGGGACAGGATCCTTCTAGAAGTTCATGACGTGTTACTACAATAGGAAATAAGACTGTGGAAACATTTTTAGTTTCTTGAAAATAGACCGGTTTAAACACGTTAATACAAGATTATTGAAAACTGTTAATTTAAAAATGGGAAATAGGGATCTTCAAAACAACACAGAAACAAGATAAGTAGCTTAAAGAGAAAATGTAATCGCAAAAAGTAAACAAAGAAGCTGAAGGTTTGAGGTATAGTGTTGACATTATTTCCTCAAACTACAAATCCCTATTTTAATTCTCTTAAACATTACAGCTTTTGGATATGGAGTCAAATTCTGGTGGGCCATCACTGTTGCATACTTTATTCTAAAACTAAATGTTTTTTTTTAAATAAGATATTGTTACGTCTCCGTTTGTTAATTAACTTTCCGTAACTTCGTTCCGACGAAACTTTAACGACACAAGTCTTTACTTAATAAAACTGGTTTATTCTTTCCGAATATAACTCTGCGATACACTTAATCTCAATACTTGCGCTAAAACAACACTGTAACGAACGAACGTTAACTTCAA